TCCATAACATGGCCCCGCTGTAAGAGAAGCTTCGTTTCAAATAATTGGTGTTTGGTTTGGACAAGGCCAGCCTTCCCTCAGAGTTTCTTATGTCGTACACAGAGTGACGCTGAGAGAAAAGGCTTTGTAGATATTCGGGAGCAAGGTTGTTCATAATTTTATACATCATTAGGGCTTTTTGTTTCTCTCGTCGAAGAGATAGCCTCTCCCAATCGAGGGTGGAGAGAAGGTGGTTTAAGCTCGTATCAAAGGGTAATTTAGTAATAATTCTGGCTGCTCGATTCTGTCATTTTTGGAGCTTATCGCTTAAGTAGCCACTTAAACAGTCCCAGACGGAGCTGCAGTAATCAAAATGAGGCATAATCAAAGCGTTATAAATTTGAATTGCAGTTTCTTTGGATATAAAGGGCCGTACACGTTTTAGGGCGTTTATAGCTGAAGAGACTTTCTTCACCCTGAAATCTCTTCAACGTGGCTACCCCAAGAGAGTTGGGCATCTATAGTAAGACCCAAAGATTTGGTCTTGTCGACTCTCTTGATAATTTGGTCATCAATTCTGGTTTTTTAAGTCGTTACATCGGGCAGATAGTCTTCGTCTTGATCCAATAATCATTAACTCTGTTTTAGCAACATTTAGACTGAGCTTGTTAGCTTTCAGCCAACGGCTAAGGTTATTCAATTCAGGGGTTAGAGCTAGCTCAAACTCTGTTAATGTCTTAGCAGATATCGTAAGATTGGTGTCATCGGCAAACATTCTTGGTGCGGCGCCCCGCAGGGAGTTGGGAAGATCATTAATGTACATTAAAAATAACAAAGGACCCAATATGCTACCTTGCGACACGCCTCAACAGAGGGTACGGGCAGATGATAGTTTGCCACCGACACTACATCTCTGAGTTCGGCCACTCAAGTACGACGAGAACCACTTAATATAACATCTTGCGCAAGATTATTTCATGATCAATGGTGTCGAATGCCTTAGTAAGGTCAATAAAGACAACGCCGTTTAAGAGACCACTGTCGATATTTACCGACCAAGAATTTGTTGCCTCAAGCAAAGCCGTAAGCGTACTATGTAGAGAACGGAACCCTGATTGGCAACCCAATAGCAATTTGTTATCATCTAGATAACGAAAACGTTGATAGTAAACAATTTTTTCAAAACTTTGGAAATTATAGGGATTACAGATTTGGTCTATAGTTGTTAGGATCCGATTTAATACCCTTTTTGAAAAGGAGTCACTTTGGCCGTTTTCCAATCATTTGGATATATCCCCGTGAGGATAGGCTTAGAGAAGATTGAGGTGAGAGAGGGTGCGTTGATATAAGCAGCCATTTTCAATAATTTACTCGGAATCATATCAAGACCAGTGGCTTTCTTTTCGTCAATTTTCGACAAAATGTTAGTCACAATATCAACGCTCGGAATTTGTAAAGAAAACGAATGAGTAGAGTGTTCTAAATAAGACTCAGGATCAATATCAACGACAGGAATATCTTGTTCCACTTTATCATGATATCAATGCAAGACTTCAACGAGTTTATCTTTTATTTAAACTATACTTTACGGTACAAAATCAACGGTCAATTATAAAAACACGAACAGAAAACAACATGTGATTCAATCTTGATACTTAGAACAAGCTTTTTGAGCATAAAATACAACCCTAATTACAAGTTCATAAGCTATCAAGAACTTCTTTTTGTTATTGTTCCCTTATTGTATCTTTTAACAAGCATTATATATATATACATACAAATATCAGTACATTTCAATAGCTAGCAATAAAAATATCCTTTGCACAAAAGTTCTTCCTGGCATTTTTGACCAATGCACCTCCATAAAATGTCCTCCCAAGCTCTTCCAGTTCATGTCGCCTAGCAACTCGGGTGCCACGCCATTAGGAAGCTGAGGGCGCCTAACCAAAACGCTGACACCGCTGGCTGGTCCTGTGCGGACTGCGACAACTCTGAAAAAAAATTAATGAATAAAGTAAATCTTCAGTGGTTTCAAAAGCGTTCGTTCCTTTTTATTTCGAAACACAAGGGTAAAACATTTGAATAAGACAATTCGAAAAAGAAACCGTATTAAACCAAGTCTGAAACAGCCGCGCCTCTACAAGTTGGAGCAAGAATTAGAAAATCTTCAGCCTACGAGTCTCGATTTCCAGAAGATTACCAGGTCTTCCCGATCGTTCCAGTTTTCGAAATATGAAATATGACCTTCATCTGTTTGTCATTCTCACAAGAGCAGTTCAAGTGCCCTACTCCCTCAAAAAGCAATACTGAAAACAACAGTAGCTTTTTAAAATGTTCCCAAGATTATATCTCACCAAGTAAATAAATGATCCTTGCAGGTGTGCTGCACTTAAGGAATTTGTGTAAGATGCCTGAAAATTCAGGCTTCGACAGAATTCGAACTCGTGCCTCCTTGTATTTCATCTTAAAATCTCACAGGTTTATTAACATGGAATATAAAGCACAACCCTCGGAACAACCTTATATTCCAATGGACAAATACTTAAGCTAGAAGGTGTTACCTTGATCAAACATTAAATTCCTTACAGGCAAAAGTAAAGCGGCTTGAGGAGAGAATAGCCAACGCCTTGGTCGTGTAATCGAGAGTAAGTATCTGGTATCTCTAATACATGACAGAGGAAAAGTAAAGGAAGGCATCGTAAGCTTGTTCCTTACTTTATCAAATATAAAACTAAAATAGGCTTACTTGTTGCCATTTGGCGATTTTATCATCAGTCCGCCCACGTGACCCTGTCTTTCTTTCGCTCCAGTGCCCACGTGACGACTACAGTGGATCACGTGCCAGCCCAGGCTCTGCGCCAGAGAGTTGGCCACGGTTAAGCGATGATTACAGACCTTAAGAAAGAGAAATTTGAATACATATGTGTATTAGTTGGGACCAAGACACACGAAGCGACAGTGACAAACAAGTTTTCAAACCGACCTGACTTAAGATGAAGTCTTCTAAATCCTGAGGGTGAGTGGGAAGGTGTACACTTGCTCCATCAGCACTCACCACACGAATCTCTCCTACTCCCACGTGCACCTGGAATGATGACCTGGAAAAAAACATTTCACACACAGTCTGATCAAAGTTACAATTCTTGTAGCTAATTTTCCCCAGACGTAATCGCTACGTGCGTAAATGGCTAACAATCCAATCTGGTGATCAAGTTTTTTGGGAATGAAGTTCCCTGACTAGCCAAGTGGTATTGCGTGCGCTTCGATACCATCACGGAGCGATGCATCAAAAACTCCCAGCAAAGACGCAAGAGGTTTGGGACGAAGAATAGCACTCACAAAACACCGGTATTTAATGGCATTCCTGCACGTCTAGGTAAATGAAGTTCATTTTTCACTGACACTAACCTAGCGAGATGTCCAACCTCTGGAGATGTGATGTGAAGAGTAGCTGATGTATTAGTATCACTACCTACACTGCTCCAATGACACGTAATACAAGGATCATTCAGTCTGGACTTCAGTCCATCAATCACCTCCACGGCCCTACCGAACAGAAATCCAGATTATTGACACTAAGACACAACGTATGAAAGAAAATCTTCCCTAAAGAGTTTGTATTATTTTGTCTGTGTTGTTTACTGTGGATTGTAACAGTTCAATGGTAATTGTGCTTTATTGAATCAGTAAAACAACGCGTAACCTTCTCAGTCCCAAGATCTAAATACAAATTCTCCCAGCTGTCTGCTATAAAATTTCTTTTAGTATTACTACTAACAATTTGGTTTGAAAATCAAACAATGTCCCGCTGTAAATATTCCGCTCGCCTCAAATTCACCTTAATTTCTGCTTGAGTGGTAATGATCCTACAAGGAAAGATATTTTTTCTTGTCACACTTAAGAATGAAAGAGTCTAGATGCCTCCACTACGATGCTACGTTTGAATAAAAGCAGAAGGTATCAAATCAAATTTGGTTTGTCCTAATTTACAATCTGGTAAAGTCAAACAAAAATATTGCACTTAAAATACATATTAAACAACAACAAACATATGAAACATATGTGTGAACTGCGGTTATGAGACGTATATGAGCACGATCCTTCGCAGTAAAGGACTATTTGAGCAATGGTGAAAATCAGACCTGAAAAAAATTTCAGGCCTGTACGGGATTCGAACCACTGACCTCTGCGATACTAGTGCAGCGCTCTACCAATTGAGCTAACAAGCCAACTGGGAGCAGGCCATCAAATTAATTCGACATAAACCCGTAGATGATAAATCAAACAACAACAAACATATGAAACATATGTGTGAACTGCGGTTATGAGACGTATATGAGCACGATCCTTCGCAGTAAAGCACTATTTGAGCAATAGTGAAAATCAGACCTCGAATTAATTTGATGGCCTGCTCCCAGTTGGCTTGTTAGCTCAATTGGTAGAGCGCTGCACTAGTATCGCAGAGGTCAGTGGTTCGAATCCCGTACAGGCCTGAAATTTTTTTCAGGTCTGATTTTCACTATTGCTCAAATAGTGCTTTACTGCGAAGGATCGTGCTCATATACGTCTCATAACCGCAGTTCACACACATGTTTCATATGTTTGTTGTTGTTTAATTTATCATCTACGGGTTTATGTCGAATTAATTTGATGGCCTGCTCCCAGTTGGCTTGTTAGCTCAATTGGTAGAGCGCTGCACTAGTATCGCAGAGGTCAGTGGTTCGAATCCCGTATAGGCCTGAAATTTTTTTCAGGTCTGATTTTCACTATTGCTCAAATAGTGCTTTACTGCGAAGGATCGTGCTCATATAAATACATATTAGTAAGTAAAAACTTACCTTTTCTGAAGAACTTTATGTCTTGAGATTTTTAAGACAGTTTCTAAAAGACTTTCACTGTAAGAGTGAAAAAAGAAAGATCAGAAAGCAAGCTTAGCACAAGTGCAAGAATATCAATATTTTCAAACAAAAAATTAAAACAAAACCAAAGGTAATTACATGTTCATAACCAGGCCTGTTCAGAAAGGCCATGTAAGAGGAAAATAGAAGAATACTTTCCCTGAAGACTGTGCGGTGTTTTAAACAGAGAATGATATTCTCAATGTCTGCGTCAAACTGCTCTCTCCCATAATCATGTACTCCAACATAAACATGTTTTTGAAGTATGTGTTATTGTGGCAAAAAACAACTTCCGGTTGCAAAGGACTGGCATTCCTACCAACCACCATTCTACCTGCTATCCTAAGGCATAGATCTTGCAGTCTGACCTAACTGTACAGCTTTTAAACTGGTCTCAATAAACCACTTTCATAAATGGTGGTTGGATCGATATTCTTTTGTTTAAATTCAAATTAGCCTCACTAGCCTCGCTCAAGATAATGTATTCTTTTGAATTTTGAACTGGAGAACGAGGCCAGAAAGGCTAATTTAAATTTAAAGAAAAGAATGTCAATCCGGCAGCCATTTATGAAAGTGGTCAATGCACTTTAGATACTTCCATCAGTTTTAAAAAAATAACTACAAAATTCGACATACCTTTGTAGATTTGGTGCTACCTCAACAGTTGTCAGAGCTGATGCTCCAGCAAGACGCAGCCTCTTACTGCCCCCTTGCATTGGATGTGCAGTGACAGGATGAGGTGTCGGCAATGAATGTGTTTTTAAGTGCTGTTTTCTGAGGAGCGAGTGAAGAGAGTACTCAAGGGAGTAAGCACGAGGTGCTCTATCCTTCTGCGCCACCTGAAATAGGGATATTACAAAATTATTTATATTTTCAACATCTAAGCAGTTCAAACAAAGGTATGTAAACAAACAGAGATACAGTAGAATTAGATTCTTCAGGCCCAGTTAAACTCAAGTCTTTGCTAAAGAGTTCAAAATCTCATGTTCCAGAAGGAAGGGTGGCTCTAGCAAAGAAGCAAAAAAAAATTTAAGAGCAGAGCCACAGTGACATCACCTCTCTTCTTGGAGGTACATGTCCCCTAAAACTATTTCATTTGTAGAGCCTATGACCCTTTTCCACATTCTTTTACATCTATACACCTTTTTATCTTGCAGCAAGTCAGAATGTTTTGCTGACCATTTCACCTCATAGGTCTGATCAAGATAACAACTTCCTACTGTTTGCTGGATAACATGTGGATATTAGAGGGAGAAGTTACATGTTAATCACTTCTGAGAGTTACAGGTTAACATATACTGCTGACTATTGTCAACAATCTTATCATGGCAAAACTGACCAATCATTTTAATAATAATAATAATAATAATAATGATATTTATACAGGATAACCCCTTCAGTGTACTAAGCACTGGTATCAATGGGAGTCCTGTTATTAAAATACTTAATTAACAAATACAAAAAGTCTAAAAGGTAAGAAGCACCAAGAAAAACTGTTGCATGGCCGACATCAATAAAAAGAGATGTACATCTACACGAAAATGTCTAATAATTGAGGAAAAAGTCTTTCGTGGCCCTTGAAAATTCAATAAAGGATTCCTTTGCTTTAATATGGTGAGGGAAACCGTTAAATTCCATCGCGCCTGTAAAATAAAAAGATTTCTTGGCGACCTCAAGGTTGACTTTTGGAAGATGAATGTCATTACACCGTCTAGTCGCAAACATGTGTATAGAAGTATTTAAATTAAAAAAAGTGATTCAGATAAGGCAGTACCGATACTTCAAGGCATTTTCTAGCTAACAAGACAATATGAAGTTTTCATCTATCAACCAAGGGTACTAGACCCAAAGTAGCATTCAGCTCTTTAGTATCGAGACCAGAATTTTGAAAAATCAACTTTGCAGCTCTATGCTGTAAGAGCTCGAGTACATCAGAATTAGCTTTACCACAGCTGTACCTGGCCACATCACAGTAATCAAAAACAGGTAACATCATCGTCTTGTAAAGGCGTTCAGCAGCAGCCATGGGAATAGAAATTCTTAGATGCCTAAAAACACTCAATTTCCTTGAGACCTTATTGACCATGCGCTCAATATGGTTGTTAAAACTCAAGTGCCGATCAATTACAATGCCAAGATCTCAAGTGCTGATCAATTACAACGTGAACTGGACTAAGAACATTCTACTGAAACAACTATTCACTTGACTCTGATGATGACTTCCACACAGGTTGTCCAAATGTCAGTTTCCACCACTGACAACAGTCATTCTAAGGACTACACTCATCCAGACGATCACACTACACTTTCGTATGTTACCCCTGGGTTCAAACCATTTACTGCAATCCTATCAACATTAGATTATACATTAGAAAACACATATTTACAGTTACTACCTTTGAAGAGTTTTCTTCTGAACTGTTTTTCCTACAGCTGTAAGTTATACAAAGATCTGTCCCTGGGAAAATCTAATTTAAAAATAATTCAAATTAATAGCAATATTGTAAAAACTCTTCCTACGGATGAAAAAAAGTTGAGGGTTTTTTTTAGATTGGCCTCCCCACAGGAATATTTTACATACAATGTAACAGTTTAGAAATTCCACCTTACCTCAGCTCTTATTTCATTGGCCATCACAAAGTGAGGTCGGTTTTCTTTAGTATTGTAAGCTCCTTGGGACAGCTGTTTATTGTAGAAACATAATGAAATAAACAATACATTAAATAAAGGAAATTTACTTTGTTTTGCATACACTGTAACACGTCTGCTAGCCATCCTTTAACTCCCATGAGTGACCAAGACAGAATTTCTCCTTACAATATCAATACAATAACAAGCAATCAAGTGAGGAGAATAAACAAACATATCAATCAGAGCATTATTAGTTGATTCATTACAAAATTATCTGAACTAACATCATAAGAATTGTATGACACACAGTAAGGAGAATCACTCATCAGATCTTGGGAGTGAAAAGGTTGATTTTTTTGCAGTTTTTGATGATCAAAGTGTTACGAGGATCGAAATATTTTCACTGAATCTGTCACGCAATCCCAGACTTTTCTAGAATTATCTATAATCTGTAATATTCCAGAAGCTTCTTTCATGTACAACTTGTAATATGCTATAAATAGTAATAGAACATTCTAGATAACTAAAGTAAATGTATAAAAGCTGGCTTGTGAGAAGTACAATAGAGATTTGCCCGAGGGCTTATCCTCGCGGCTTGCTGACTGAACTTGTGAAAGCTATGATGTGACAAGGCTATGACCTTTTGACCTTGAGATATGCAGAAAGAAGAAAGAGATGAAAAAGACGATAGTCGAGAGAGGAAGAAGATAGAGAATACAGAGTTTACTGTGGAGTCCTCCGGAAGAGTTTGTGTACAAGGAAAGAATGCGATAAATCAAGAAAGCCAAGCGCTGTGGTCTTCAGTCGGCGGATGTTGGAATTGGAAGTTGATCAAGACGACTAACACTTACACGGCATGAAGGATTGTAAGCCTGCTTTATGAACTGCTTAACTTAATCTTTAACCTAAGTAAATTAGACAATGTAAAACTAATTAAATAATAGTTAAAATGGGTAACTGCTTGTTGTTACATTTTTGTTGCGTGCCATATATCGTACTCGGGAGTCTATTTTCATATATGCTTTGTTAGCGGACATTTCTTGGTCATTCGTGCACGTAACAAAAGTATGTCCTGTCAAAATTCATACCTGCATAAATAACTCCTTGCAAAATAAATTGGACTGAGCAGACTCCAGCTTCTGTTGCCACGATGGAATGACTGTTGGCATGTTGTCATAACAACCACTCATCAAACCTTACAGAAACAAAATAAAGCAGATATATTTTACATATTTTCAGACATGCGAGTGGTTTTCTGCTGAATTCTCAGTTGTTGAGCATGGGAAGTTGACAGAAATAAACAAGCAGCCATTTGTTCCAAATGTGGCAAAATTGATTTCATTATGATCATTGTTCTCCCTTATTTTAAGCATAGCAATTAAATAAGTCATCAAACTGGCAGAGCAATCATCTTACCAGGTCCTGTTAGATATTTAAGAATTCCAAATAATATTAGGAAGTAGTAAGACTTACACCTGTACTAAAGACAGTACATTTTACTGGTTTCCCCCTGAAAAGGGCCACACTACATCATGCAAGAATTTTTGAAATTACATTGTATAAGGCTATTATTCTGATTATTCATACATTCTGAGTGTTATTTTAGCATTTCATCTTTGTGTATGCAAAATAGGAAATCAAAACAATGACATAGATCACTACTATTAAGAAGTGAAACAGCCAAGGTAAAAATACTTGAATGTATATTATCGAAATAAAGCATTACCTCTGACAGAGGCAATCTGTAGTTCTTTTCCAGACTCCACAATAGCCACTCTGATTTCTGCTGTCCCTTCCAAATCACTTCCAACAGTCACCTCCAAGGCTCTGTTGTCTGGGGTGGATTGCTCTGTTTTATCTTCAGCTCTTGTAGCTTTGCTAACCTCAAACAATCCTGGATTTCTGAATTGTGAGCCAGCTGCAAGAAGAAACACCCTAGTCCTTGGTGAAAAAATTAACCTTTAACCTTACCAAGAACTGAAAGTTAACTCTTGTTACTGATTACAATAAGTCTGTTGACTAATGCTGAAAATTTTGCAGCACAAATTGAGAGGTTAATATTTTTTAGTTCTCATTAGCTGTTTAGTTAACAGTGTATTAAAATTATGGAGAGAATACAAATACTGATCACTCCCGAGGATGATTAAGAGGGTCAGTAGTGCTTTAAAAGGATGATGTGATGTTTGTTCACAAGATCATTGATATCACTTCATTCTTTCCTAACTTCATTTTCAATCATAATTTGATGCAATTGATGGATCCACTGCTTGAACATTTCGAATACCTTAGGTTAGTAACAATGATCTCGTGTTACCATCACTTTTGAACAAAATGAAACAACAAGAGAGATGAAACATTTTTCTCAGTCTCCTCAATAATCAATGTAGTGAAAGGTCAGGTAATTTGGTAAACAAAGCAGTGTGCTCTCTTTGATTTTCACCTGAGCGGTATGTCAAATCCCCTGTTATAGAAGTCCCTGTTCTTTTTAATCTCCACCTCTTTCTTAACATCATAAGTTCAGAATGGAAATCTTTTGCATTGCTCCCTAGTTGCCTGATTGTATGATCAGCTCTTTCTTTAACAGCATCCTCCATTCTTTGAGCTCCTTGTAGCAGAATATCAGCAGCATTACATAGACCCTGAACAAAATAGACAATTGTGGAGCATTACTTTAACAGAGAATCTTAGACGTCACGCAAAGCATGTCTTTACTGAAATTTAAAATGAATTTTAGGCTAAAATGATTTAAACTACTGTAGTTAAATTCTCCTCTTAGCTTTTTGAGCGCAATGATATATCTCTTATCGAACAAAGGAAAGTATAAATAAAAGTACAGGAGCTATAGTATAAAATTGCATAAACTTGAAATCATTTTAAACTACATTGTACAATAGCAACAAAAGCAAGAAAAATTGTAGCTGTGAAATTCAAGAAACTTGACGATGCTACATGGACATATTCACATATAAATAATGTGCAAAATTGACCTAAAATCTTAAACCACCTTGAATTTAGGATTGTGGTTGTCTATATATGATAGGTATATATATGTTGCAGGTAAAAATTAAATTCAGGTAAAAAAATTTTAACCTAGGTTGAATTTCAATTCTCTTTGTCTCTGAGACCTAATTGTGAATAACCAGGGCTAGGAGAAAAAGGAAATTGATTTTCAACCTAGGTTAAAAATTTTTTTACCTGAATTTAATTTTTACCTGCAACATTATACAGTCATGTGAGTACATGCAAAAGGTGAAGGGACTACCGCTGGCCACATACTGAGGGCTCGTTAGGACCGCTGACCTGTGCTAGTCAGCCAGATTTTTTCGGACACTCGAACTCATGAACATCAACAAATATCTTGCGAATTGAACTTATTATCGTAAGTCTATTATATTGTGTTTCGTTTAGCTTTATAGTTTGCGTTACTTAGTGTATGGATATTGTGATTTATCCTGTAGATCTGTTTCGTCATTGTGATTAAACCAAATCAATCGAGGAGTTCGCTTCATAAGGTATGATCTAACTGAAAAAAAATTACTTTTAACTCCTCTGGCTGGTTTTCCCAAAGTTAAAGGTTCAAGACTCAATAAAGATGATTAATTAAAATATAGTTGCTAAGTAAATTCCCTCTCCTAACCTTCTTTTTAGTGATCAAAGATAAAGTTGGTTTGGGATTGGCTTGGTTTTGTGATACTGGGTCCAATACTAAATATTTCTTGTCTCGTACCACATTCAGAACATCAGATAATACACAGACTTCTGTTAATGACTTCCTGTTGAGTAACCAACAAATTTACATTATTCATATATTAAATATATTTCAATTGATATTAATGATGTCTTTAGCTGAGACTACATGTTCCTATGACAAAAATAACAACTATTGCACAACTATTGTAATTAGCACCTAAACACTTGCACCTCGTTAATCACACCCACCAACCACAATACATGTAATTACCATATCTGCACCTGCACCCGTATATATCTGTGGACAACCTCATTAAAGTGCAGTTTTGAACACGATAAGTAACAGTCAACAACTGGACTGAGATACTTACAATTCAATAGTTCTCCAACAAATTATTGCTTATTAAAAATAATTGCTTATTAAAAATAATTGCTTATTAAAAATAATTGCTTAAAGGAGTTATCACCTTTACATCAGGTAAAACCAGTGACATAGCACATCAGCTTTTTCCTGATAGAGGTTGCACTTCAACCCCCTTATTTAGAGAAGTAATTAATATCCAGTTTCTCTTCACAGTTACAAAATATAATTGAGCAGTCTTAGAACTAAAGTAGGGAAATTGATCAGCTGGGATGCACTACCTTGACTTGAAGTTTAACTCTCTTAATAATTTACAATTATATATACTTAACTTATAGTTCTGTAAAACTATTTACCTCAAGTTCTCCCTGACAGAATCCCATGGCCACAGAGATGGTTGAAATGTTATTAAGGATTTCTCATCATCTTCCTTATCTGTATCCATTTCGTGCCCCTTGACATCAGATAAAAAGTCTATCTTGTGGGCTAGCTTGGCCAACTTCTCTGACATGGACAGCTGCCTGAAAAGTTTTATACATCCATGTAGCAGTAATTAATTTATTTCCTCTTTCTTAGTCTTCACATCATTTCAAAGAGTTACTTCCTTAAATACATTTTTTAGTCTCTCCATCCTCGGACGATGCATACGTCGAAATTAATATAATGACTCAGTGATCAGAATTCGTCTTAGCAGAGCTAGATTCCCCTAGTAATAAGAAATGCCGTTTCAATGTATTGAAGAGGTTTGTGAATATATACAAAACTGTTGCAGGAAAAATGCATGTTAAGCTACACTTTCAAAGCTTTCTGACGGACTGTTGTCTGTAGCAATCTTGTCGAATCGAAATCAGAAAGCCACATTTTAAGAGGTAAATTCTGACGATCAATACTTACGGTACATATTTCTCTTGTCCATCCCTGGAAATCTCTTCCACTTCACTCTCAAGTAGACTTTCAATCGCGATGTCCACTGCGAGTCCAGACGCCATTTTGAAAATACAGATTTTAACCCTTGTACATGTCGTTTATTGATAACGCTGATATCGACTCGCGGGCTCTTGTTGTGCAGGTGCAAGTAACGACATGGCGAAATAACAGCTGTGGTTCTCGATGGGCGTCAAGCATTTTCCGCGCTAGAGGTAAGAGTTTTCGACATATCTCTGATTATACTTGTTTATTTATGCCTTGTAACGTTTTCTACGATCCAACCTCGAAAATAGAGCCTTTGACGATTCCATTATGATATTTTTACCTTACACTCCTCGAATCCCCCTAGAATCCTCGGTCGCGTGGCTTCCACATGCATTTCTGACATTTCTGCAGTGTTCATTATTTTATAAAGCCTTCTCTACTCAGTTCTTCCAGTTTTTCCTATGAGGGCTGTGTATTTTCAGTAGTAAGAGGAAGGGTCTGGATCGTTGATGTTTTATTTGACTTTAGACGTAAGACCAGGGGAAATCTGCAATAAAAACAAAAGCTTGAAAGAAGCTCAGCTTAATTCATAATTGACCAAAAGTTTTGCTCTTTTGATGTATTTTAACATGAAATGACTATGGTTTAGGGAATCTTCGTGCTCTATACACCGCTTTTTACTAGGGCTCTGGATTCTCTTATGTCAAAATTATTTAAAAACTAAATGAACATACTTAAAAATATAACTCTTTTTATAAATTGATTTCATTTTTTGTGTGTGCAGTAACCACACTCTCTAGTATAAACAAGCGTACTTTTTAAATTGTTCTGGTGAGGCATTTTTATTGTCCCTAGTAGTCCAGTGTGATGATTTCATCTGAACTCAGGTACCTGCCTGTTTCATGTAGCTTCAGTAGAGGAAAGGATTTTCTGGTTAATTCTCACTGAAAATTGTCAGATATGTCTTAGAATGAAATAGAATCAAAAAATGACATCTGTAGCTTAAAAAAGTTGCCCAAGTGATAGTAAAAGGGGTTTTTAGGATGGGTTTCTGCAAACTTATATAGTCCTAACAACAGGAATGGTCAAGTACTAGTTTTTTTTTTTTACTTGCCTGTCAACATTCATAGATGAATGAGATTCTGGAAACTTTTCAGGATCTTTGCATAATGTCTTGGTGATCAAATTCCCCCTCCCCCCCTCCTTATCTCTCTCTCGTTGTTTTCTCATCACTTTGTTCACTGAAAGGTCTGAAGGCTGTGCTATAGCAGAGCTGGGTGACCCCTGGCACCTTACTTTTTGCTCTTGGGCAACTCAGGAATTTTAGTTTTTTCATAAAAACCATATGCTGGGCACCTAGGATTGTATAGTTTCAGAGCACTGGACTTTCTTCATTTTTTTTAGGACACAGCCTTGGGTTTTGAAAACTTCAGAACTACTGAAAAGTATTTCAATTCAAACAGAAGAAAGTGAAAAAGACTTAAGACGAAATTAAAGCAAACAGTGCTTACTGTCTGCTAAATATCATAATTAAGTCGAAGAACTTTCAGGCACTAAAGTCAGATGCTCCTCCTCTTGAGGGAGCTTTGCTGTATGTGTGTGAAACCATTTAAAGGGTTTGTACAAAGTAGGACATCTCATGATGATTGCTGTGTAGATCACTAATGTCAGATGCACCCAGTTTTAAGAAAGAGGAAAAACAATAATTTGTAAATTTGAAACAATATACAATGCAGGATTTACCCTCTAGGGCTTCATTTTCAAAGAATCACTTAATCTTTAAACAGGAATTGAATTGGAGGGGGGCTTTGGGATTTTCGGTTTTGCAGTTTTGACTGTTTTTTGGATCGGTTTTTCAGTTTTTGGGCCAAAAAGGTTCGGTTTTTCGGTTTTGATGTTCAGAGCAGTTTGCGGATTTTGCGTGTTTTTGCATTCGGTTTTCGGTTTTCACGAAAACTCTGATGTGGTTTTTGNGCAATCAAAAGTCACTCTACGAGAAGTCGTTGAAATAGCCAAAAGCCACGAGGCAACCACATTTGCAAACCAGTTAATGAAAAATGCCCGAGGCAACCAGCAGGAGCAGGTAAACTTCACAAAGAAGACAAAACCCGAATACCACAGCTCCGACACCTTAACAACGGCCTGCTTCTGGTGTTGCGGTGAACATCCCAGCCCTCGTCAACAGCATTGTCCAGCGTTCGGGAAACGATGCAACAAGTGTGGAATCATTGGCCATTTTGCTCGTGCATGCAGAGGAGGAACGAGAATTGGTAGAAGACGACATCAGCAATTGAATTTTGTTGATGATGACCCTGATGAAGAGGCATTTGTTATAAATGATCAAGCAGCGCCAGTCGGTGCAAAGAAATTCTTTGCTCACCTACACCTCATCCATGGGAGGCGGTCGAAAATTGTTAAAGCTCAAATCGACTCGGCGTCGACCTGTAACACTATGCCAAGTTCAGTATCAAGCCAGCTATTCCCGAATTTGAAAACCTCAAAGACGAAAAGCAGAATCAACACCTACGGAAACCAAACAATGAAACCAGAAGGTCAAGTAACCCTCGTGTGTGAGAGGAAGGGCAAATTCCACACAATTGATTTCCTAGTGGTGAACGTTCTGGACGACAAGCCTCCACTTCTTAGCAGACGAGACGCACAGGCTTTAAAGTATTTGACCATCTATGCAAACGAGACAAACGCAGTCGAGGAGGAGACCACACAAAATACGCAGAAACTGCCTGCACTCGGCAAATTGACTTCAGAGGACATCCTAAAGCACTACCCCAATGTTTTTAAACCAGGACGCGGGAAGCCTCTTGGGAGCCCCATGCAGATCGACTTGGACCCGTCAGTCACACCCGTTCATGCCCCCACTCGCCGTGTTCCAGTGGCAATATTAAACAGGGTCAATGAAGAGCTGAAAAGGCTCTGTGAAGAAGGAATTATAAGGCCGGTAACCCAACCTACCAATTGGCTGTCCAATATGCTGGTTAAGGAAAAACCTAATGGCAAACTTCGCATCTGCATCAATCCGAGCCAAACCATAAACAAGGCAACCAAAAGGCCCAAATACACCATACCCACAATCGAAGAGAGGCTACCGCTTCTGACAAACGCCAAGGTATTCACCGTCGTTGATGTTTCTGAGGCATTTCATACTATTGAACTGGATGAAGACTCTTCCCTTCTAACAACTTTCCGGGGGCCAAATGGTCGCTATTGTTACAATCGGATGCCCTTTGGTATTGCCTCAGGACCAGAAGAATATCAGCGGCGACAACATGAATTTCTGGACGGATTGAATGGGGTAATCAACATCGCAGATGACATCTGTGTTTATGGCTGTGGCAACACTAAGGAAGAAGCCGACATAGATCATGACCGAAATCTTATACATCTACTTGAGAAGTGCAATGAACACGATCTTCGACTTTCCGCTAAAAAAATTCAATTTAAGTCTAGCTCTGTTTCATTTATGGGGCACCGACTTACCAAAAATGGAGTACAGCCGGATCCGAGCAAAGTAGCTGCGATCACAGGAATGCCAACCCCAGCAGATAAGGCCGCATTGCAACGTTTCCTAGGAATGTGCCAGTACTTGTCCAAGTTCTGCCCAAACTTGTCCCAAAC